GACTAGGCTGCAGGGTGAAACGAGGTCTTTCAGAGCCTTTTGCTAGGGAGTTTTCATCTGACGCTGGCAGTTCGCACAAATGAAAGCACTGGGAACAAGGCTCGCTTCAGGCTCAACCACCTAATGCTGATCCCCACCATCTACCCCCGAATCCTCCCCTATTCATCTCCTCAGCCCAGCCATCCCCCTCCCACTTGCTTGGGCCAAACTCCAGGGTTCCATCCTACATACCTGACTTTCTCTCTCTCCCCATCCCATCCACAAGCAGGACCTCCCAGTTTTATTTGAGCACACATCACAAGACCTGGCCACTTCCTCCCCACCCCCACCATAGCCCAAGCCAAACTAGTCCAAGGTCATCAGACGATTGTCCAGCTCACGGTTGAATTCCATCTAGACCATTACCAGACTTTTTCTCACCCTTGTACTGCATACTTCTTCCCTTCCAATCTCACTCGGTGATCAGAGGAAGGGAAAATGGACTGCTTATGTAAGTGCACCGTGGGCCACATAGGATGAACAAATGGTCGACTGGCTTGGCCTACGTGCTTTGTCGCTTTCCAGGTGGAGCTGTTCAGTTTGCCGGCACAGGAGAAACATTTGCCTTGGTGCAGTCACCCGGGCGTGGATTTGGCCGGCCCTTTCTGTAAACGTCCAAGTAGTAAAGACTTCAGACTTGGCAGGCCGCACTGGATCTCTATGGCATGATCTTCTTCCTTTGCTGCTGTTTTAGAATATTTTCAAAATGCAAAAGCAAGCCATTCTTAGCTGTGGCTGGAGTGGCTGTACAGAAGCAGGTTGCAGAGGGAGTTGGCCTGCAGGCTGTAGGGCAAGGTCTACTCTAGGCTCCAGTGAGGGGAGAGAAACAGGGAGTGGGATCAACGGAACGTCTCTGGGGGTTGTGTTTGGTGAGGTTTTGCCACGTTTCTACGCAGCAGCAATTGACACGTCCACTGAGGGTTTGTCCCAGCTCTGCAGAGGCATCCCCCCAGCCCTTTGTCACAACTTGCCAATAAGGCCGGCCCTACTATTTATCCCATTTGCATGCAGGGAAACTGAGGCTCAGGCAAGCCTGGAGGAGCAAAGTCAGGGATCCGATTCAGATGCCTCTGACTCCAGGCTCCCAGTTGCCCTGCTCAGCTCTGAGAACTTCAGGAATGACAGAGAGAAAGGAGCCTGCTGCATCCTTTCACTCATAATCCTCTCAAATTGACACCAGATTATGTAACTACCACACCTGCTTTCAAAAAGAATGGATATACACATACAATCGTGTATTAGGCTGTGTTATCCAGTGAAACAAAACCAGGGACATGACACTCATCTATGTGTAAGACAGAACTTTATATCAAGTTTAAATCAAGAAGGCATTGGTGGTAGTCACATAATCTGTTGTCAATTTGAGACTCAGAGTGAAGGGGTGGAGGTTAGCCTGTCAATCAGGCCACAGCTCGATGACCTCATTTGGAGGCACTAAGGAGATAAATAGCTCACTGGAGGAAAGACA